ATAATGGTGACTGTGCAGATGAATAACTGAGGTGAAACTGTCCATGGGCTACTGGTTGTTTGTTTTCTGAGTCCTCAGGGGATGGACGGCTCTGAATGCCACACAGGAGTTCAGAATGGATCCTGCGGAACTCTCAAAGAGAAGAGATATTGATGATGCAGTCCCCAAAGGTGATGGGACTTTTCTGGTAACCCCTTCTTTGCTTTCTTCCCCCGAGGGAGGGGTGGAACACAATTCTGTCTATTGGGCCTCCTGAGAGTGGAAGAATGTACCATATGAATGGTGAAGTCTGGAAGAAATTGGGCGCAATACAACAATGTACCTCTAGGGGCACCTTCAGGGATGAAGGGTACAAGCATCCCTAACTCCCAGGGGGAAGGTGAGAGATGCAGCTGACTGAGGTTGGGACCCCAGTGGATGCCAAGTATGGGAGCCTGCTTCTGGAGACCATGTTTAAGTGACTTCAAAGGTTCTTTTGTGGACATGTGTCCAGAGATGAACAGGAGTGGGGAGATGGATGGGGACAAGGTACCAAAGACCCCTTCCCCCTAAAATCAGCTGGGCTCATCCCTCAAAAAGGGTTTTTCTTTTCTTTTAATGAGGCAAGTGGGGTTACACGCCTTGCCCAGGTCACAAAGTTAGTAAGTGTCAAGTGACTGGTCTGAGACCAGATTTGAACTCGGGTCTTCCTGACTCCAGGGCCAGTGCTCTATCTACTGCACGGCCTAAATACCCTAAAATGTTTTTTTCTAGCCCTCTCTTGTATACCTATGCAATCAATTAAGAGAAGGTGATGAATTTGAGTTTATTAACCCCAAGGAATAATGTTTGAATGGTAGGAACTCATGACTGGGGATTTATGTATTTCCAGCTGTCCAGATGTTGAGAGGCTATTGTGGCCAAAGTAGATACAGAACTGACCAGAAGAGCCAGGAAGAGCTGGGTTCAAATCCTACCTCTGACACACTTGCTCTGTGACCTGAGGCAAATTACTGAATGTCTCAATGCTCCAGGTAATTCTGCAAGACCAGTTTTAGAGAAGGTACCAACCTGAATTAGGAGAGGGAGTTCCCTACCAGTGGAATCACAGGTCTATCCCTCTCCATCCAGCTTCTATTGTGTGGTTAAATTGAACTTGGCCCTATTGGTGTGTGTGTGTTGAGCGGGGGGTGTCTCTGGGCCCAGGTGTAATTTTTTTTTAACGTTGCCCTCTTTCCATTTTTGACTTGCAAGGCTCAACTGTCATAAGCTGCTTCTGTTCTAGATGAGCCCCTTCCTTAGCACCCCTACCCTGGGCCTTTCCAGAATCTTCTAGGCTGGAATTAAGAGAGTTGGGGCCTTGCTAGCCCATCTCCAGCATCTCCCTGTCTGTGACACCAGAGAGGAGGAAGAAGAGATTGTCTGTGGACCTGAATCAGCACCCTCCCCTCCCTATAACATCCACAGCCCTGAGCTGAAGCTGTCCTCATGTGGGAATGATGCAGGACTCAAGCATCCCTCGCACTGAACTAGAAGAAACAAAAAGAGTTTGGCATAACCTGGTTATACCAAGTCCAGAAGGTGGCTGGCTACTTGGAAAACCACTGCTGATTGCCTTACCCTTGGTCCCCAGGCGCCAAGACTGGGGACTGGTCCTAGTCATGACCTTCATATCCCTTTCTTTCCACCCCCCCCTACTCAATTGTCCACATCAGTTAAGTTATCCTTGACTGTCCCTATCTCAGTTAATTCCAGGTAGTGACACTGACTATCCTTGTGTGAGTTAAAACATACCCATAATAAAGGCCTCTTGCTTTTAGCATCACTGGCTGGTCTGACTCTTTGGTGAAAGCTCTTTAAGCAGATTTAATAGACTGGGAGATGCCTCCATTCATGCTTCTGGTTGGGGATTGTCCTAGAGATCCTCTGAGGCCCCTTCCATGTATGAGATGCTATAAGTATTTGAAGCTGCTCAGGGACGCAGTGTGGATTAGTGAAAAGAAGCTCTAGTCCTGGAGTCAGAAGATCTGGGTTCAAATTCTGCCCCTGACACTCACTGCCAACCTGTGTGACCTTAGGCAAGTCACTTAACCATCCTGGGCCTCAATTTGCTCATCTAGGGACACATAAAGGTCCCCTGCAGCTCTATGTCTAGAATCCTATGTTCCTAAAGGCCATATAAAAGTCAAGTAATCTTTTTTGCTGTTACTATTATTTTTGTTCTTTATTGTTGGGTAGCCAGATGCCACGGTAGATAGCATACTGAGATCTGGACTCTGGGAGACTTGAGTTCAGATTTGGTTTCAGACTCCTAACTAGCTATGTGGCCCTGGACAAGTCATTTAATTTCTGTCTGCTGCCTCACTTACCTCATCTGTAGAATGGAGATAATAACATCTACCTCCCTGAGTTATTGTGACGACTAAATGATATGATCTTTGTAAAATGCTTTGCAAACCTTAAAATGCTATGTAAATGTTAGCTATAATAGCAATGATGATGATGACGATTATATTGTTATATTATATCTTCACAATATGATAAGCATCATCGTCATTGGCATCATCATCATTATTATTCCTACGACCTCCCATCTTGGGCTCTAGGTCCATCGTCCTCAAATCACACAAACAAGAGAGATGAATGTACTGTTCAAGGCTCGCTATAAATCAGCCACTGCTTCTATTCTCTCTGGAGTGTGAAGCCTTACTGACTCCCCTCGTCCCATCTGCTTAGATCCACAAAACCAGATCAGATTTCCAGATACATTGTTCTACTTGCAGCCAGTTGTCCAGGCTGGTGGGACAATGCCACCCAAATTCCGTACCAGGTATCAGCTCTGCACTGCCCATCAGTGTTACAGGGTGTGTGCTAGCTACAGGGTGATACCCAACCTCATTCTTCTTTCATCCTCTCTGGACACAGAGCTAGTGTTTGGAAGTGAACTTGGACACCTGAGGATGTCCTGCAGCACCCTCAAGTCAGGCTGAAGCAACTGGGGTAACTCTGCTTTGTAGCACTGGGAGCTAGAGATGTCCAACATGTAGCCAGAGGACCTGTGACACTCCCCAGTGTGGGCCCATACCAGATTCAAATGTAATTGGGAAATACCTAACAAAACAAAATACAATACAATAGAACATAAAGAATGTCAATATATGGTTTTCTGAGTCCATATGAGGCCTCAGGGATCCATTTCTATTGGGACTCTGACACCACTGGATTAGACCATTGATGGGCACCATTAATGCTGACACTATGATAGCCATGAGGTCAGCCTTCAAAAGCTGGTGAAATTTTTTTAGGCAACCAGAAATATTCAATACAATCAGAAGATTGGGAGTCTTCAGGTCTTACACCAATTTTACTGATGAGGAAACTGAGGAAATAATAGTCATTTTCACTTCCAAAGGCAATGCCAAAATTAATCAGTAGATTCCCAGTAGTTTTGGGAATCACTAGGTATTAATCTAATTTTGCAGGTAGGAAATTGAGAGGGAAATATAGTCTATATATAATTTAATATCATTTTAGCTACTGAGGAAAGAACCAAAATTAATAGATTCCTAGTAGACTTGGGAAACCCTATGTCTGATTTTTTTTTTTTTACTGAAGAGGACATAACCACAAAGATAAGACCTATTTCATGTGGCAATCCGGAGAACCTTATCTGGACCAATGTGGAAAGTACCTAGCTAGATAGCTAGGTGGATTACTAGACTTAGAAGTCAGGAAGACCTGAGTTCCAATCCAACCTCAGACACTTACTAGCTATGTAGCCTTGGATAAGTCAGTGAACCTCTATCTCGGTTTCCTCATCTGTAAAATGGGGATCATAATAGTATCTGCCTCTCAGAATTACTGTAAGGACCAAATGTCTTATCTGTAAAGTGCTTTTCAAGCCTATATAATGAATATTTAATATAATTTAAAGAGCTCTCCTGGTGGTAGCTCTTATTATGTGTCAGTTGCCCTTCTTATGTCCTTCCCTAACCAAGGTAAATGACTGGCTTACACACTGACCATTCAGGTGCCTCAGGTTTGGGAGGCATGGTACTGCTGCCTTAGCCACACTGCCTCCCAGTGATCGATATTCTAGGCAACCTCATGGATCGGTTCACTTAGTAGTGAGACCTTTTTCATCAAATTGTTCTTCCTCCAGTGACTGAATGGTGCATGGTTACTGTCACCAATCAATCAATTAGCAATAAGATTAGGTTCATAAGATCATAACTTTAGGGCAGGAAAGGAATTTGGAGGTCACTGACTCCAACCCCCTTGTTTTACAGAGAAGGAAACTGAGTCTGCCCAGGGAGGTGAACTTAGTTGAAGCTTAAGGTCATCCAGTACTAAGTAGATCCTAGATTTAGAGCCAGAAGGGGTGCTGACGACCATCTGGCCCAGCCACCTCATTCACAGATTAGGAGTCTGATGCCCACATATGTCTTGTACATACCTAATTATTTACATGTTGTCTCCCCCATTAGAATGTCAGCTCCCTGAGGGCAGGGACTATTTTTCCTTTGTGTGCCCTCTGCCTAGCAAAGAGTAAGCGCTTAATAAATGACAGGCTCTAAGGCTACCTTCCATCTCTTCTGTATCTATCTTGTATGTACAAAGTTGTCTGCATACTGTTTCCCCCATTAGACTGTGAGCTCCTTGAGGGTAGGGACCGTATTTTTGCCTTTCTTTGTATCCCCAGTGTCTAGCACAGAGTAAGCACTTAATAAATGCTTGTTGATTGGTTGACTAAGGGATGCCAACATGAGCGCCTCCTAGCCTCGAGAGGGGAAGGGAGGGCAGGTACAAACCCCAAAGCACGATGACAATGACAGCAACGGGCAGCGTGGTCATTATTGCCATGAATGATTCTTACAAAGAGGTAATAACAGGACTTTGCAAAATAACAGAATTCCAAGTGGCAAATGTTTGGCCTCATCCACATCTCCTCTGGCTAATCGTTTCTGTGTAGGCGCCTGCGTGCTCCTCCCCTTGCAGTGGGGGCTCCCGGTGTCACTTACTTTCAAGTTCACTAATCAGCTGGTTATTGTGTAGCTTAACTGCTCGGTGCTGCTCCACCTGATCTTCCAGCTCAAAGATGGTCTCCTTCATATCCTTGATCTCAGCGTCACTCTCTGAGGCTTTCTCTTGCAACTGCAGGCTGGTCTGGTTCAGCTGCTCTGCCTGCCGGTCACAGACCTCTTTTAGGTAACCACATTCCTTCTCCACCTAGAATAAAAGGGAAACCTCCTATTAATCCCAAAGGCAAAAAGTTCCCAGATACTCCAGCAGCAGACACCAACAAGAAAGCAACATTCTTGACTTTGGAAGGGGCTGGCTTGCGGGAGGTGGTTTCTCATCAAGGAGGGGATTTCAAGGAGAGACTTTCATGTTACTTTCATCTGTTTTGTACATATCCTTTTAGAATTCCTCACTTTAAAGATCAGCTCAAGGAGGGGCAGCTAGGTGGCGCAGTGGATAGAGCACCGGCCCTGGATTCAGGAGGACCTGAGTTCAAATCTGGCCTCAGACCAAACACTTGACACTTACCAGCTGTGTGACCCTGGGCAAGTCACTTAACCCCAACTGCCTAAAAATAAAAGAAAAAATTTTAAAAAAATAAAGATCAGCTGAAGCAGCACTTCTATGAAGCCTTTCTTGATATGCTCAGCACCTCCAAGAAACTACCTCCTTCTTACCTTGCTTGTTTCTATGCACTTATATTTGTGTTGTTTTCCCCAAAAAGAATGTCAGCTGCTTGAGGGTAAGAGGTGGTTCATTTTGCATTTGCAGCGCCCTCTGGCACAAAATAGTAAATAATAATAATATTTCTATGGTACTTTCAGGTTTGCAAAGCCCTTTAGACATGCAGTAGGAGCTTAATAAGTGCTTCTTGATTGAGTGATTGACTGCCAGGGTATACAGCTGGGGGTTGCCTGGGCCTCCATCTATTTGTTAGCTGGCCACTTAAGTAAGAGGGCATTTCCTTTCTTAGGGGAAAAATGGGTGGGGGTACCCTCAGAGCATCCCTTCCCCAGTCAGATTTCCACGACAGAGACCCAAGTCATCAAATAAATGCAAGAAAACAGCCCTGACCGCTGCCTACAAATCGACAGAGAGTAGCACTTGCTGCTTTTTTGTCCGTCCCCTCTGGGCTGGGCAGCCCAGTCTTCCCGACTGTTGAAGGCTCTAAAGATCGGAGCCTGGACGCCGAGTCTTCCACTAGGGGGCTCCAATGTGCTGAAGAAGGCAGGATTGAGAACTGGAAGGGACCTTGGGACAGTCTTCTCATTTTACTAAGGACCCTGAGGCTGAGAGAAGGTATGAAGTGACTCACCCAAGGTCACGCAGGGAGTAAACGGCAGAACTGGGAATAGGGATCCAGGTCCTCAGTGTTCTTGTGGCTACACCACCCCACCCCTCCTGCTCTACGAGAACACTGCGTCCTCACTGGATGGAGCTTTGCTAGTCTCTGGAATCGGAAAGCCCTGAGTTCAAATCCTACATCTGGCCCTTGTGACCCAGGGCAGGTCACTTAACCCCTCTCTGCCTCACTTTACACAACTGTAAAATGGGGATCATAATAGCACTTAACTTCATGGAGACTAACCATAGTTAGGGGAGGCTTGAAAAGAGATTGTCTCCTCGTCTTTATAGGATGAAAGATCTGGAGAGCTGGGAGGGATCCCTAATTAGGGGTCCTCTGGTCCGGTCCCCTCTTTTTATGGCCACCATTTCATGATGTCAGCTACCATTTCTACAGCACTTTAAGGTTTGCAAAAGGCTTTACAAGTATCAATCGCAGTTCATCCTCACCACAACCCTAGGAGGCAGGCACTATTATTATCTCTACTTTACAGAAGGGTAAACTGAGGCAGGCAGAGGTTAAATGATGGTGAGACTAAAAGTTCTGAGGCAGGATTTGAACTCAGGTTTTCCCAATACCAGGGTTGATACTCTATCCACTCGTTGTGCCATCTAGCTGCCTCACTGGACAGATGAAGAAACTGAGGCACATAGCCTTATGACAAAAACAAACCATGCATCATAGTCACAATTTTGTGTCCAATCTTCTTTTTATTTTCTACTTTGTAAATAGAAATGCTTGTTTTGAGTGGCATTTAAATTTGGAATAAAAATAAAAATTTTAAATAGAAAGATGGTAAGGAAACAGATAGAATTTAAACCCAGGGCCTCTGGCTTCATATCCAGTGTCCTCTCTACTATAGCTGGTCAAACTCTCTCCTTCAAAAGATAAGGAAATGTAAGCTTGGGGAGGATAGGTACATTGCCAGAGGTACACTGATGTTAAAAAGTAGAACCAAAAGTCTGACCCAGGTGCTTGGCCTCCAAATGCTCATTCTGCTCCTCCAGGAGATTACTAAGCTTGTGTGTAAAGTAAGAGTAAATTGGCTCTGAATGAGGGACTGTGGCACTCTCCTATGAGTTGAGTATCTGTGACTGGGTGATCTCCCCTCTGGCTGCTCAGAGGCCTCTTTATCACTCACTTCCTGCTTTCTGGCTGGGCTCCAGATGGGCCAAGCTTCCAGCATTATAAGGTGTGGCTATATAATTTTAAAATTCATATTTCCTGAAACTGGTATGCATTGGCTGAGTGGGCCTTTTAGTCTGCACTGTCCTCGTGCGTAAATGAATGGAAAGCTGACAAAGAGACGAGGGCTGGGAGAGATGGGGAGAGGGAAGCCAGGCCACAGAGAAGAAAAAAATCTTCTTAAACCACAGATCCCCTGTAGAGAATCCCTTTGGAACTCTCCAAGACCCCACTGCATTCAGAATCCAAAAATGTATCAGAAAACATTAAAGGTTACAGAGATGACAGAAGGATGGGGCAGTGTGGACTAGTGGAAGGGGCCATGGAGGACCTGGGGTGCAGGGTCGTGATCCTAGCTCTGTCACTGATGCAGCAGCATCCTTGAGCATGAGACACAGAACTCAAAGGGCCCTCTGAGGACATCGAGCCCAAGCACCCATTATACAGATGAGGATGCTAAGGCCCAGGGAGGAGAAGGGATTTGCCCAATGAGTGTCCAAGGTGGACTTTAAACCCAGAGCTAGTTGTCTTTCTACTCTAATGCTAGATTAAAAATTAACTGGAAAAAAGTAATAAACTAATTGTCAAGAATGAGTGGGTCAAAGAACAACATCTGATAGTGATCGATAACTTCATTAAAAGTAATGATAATGAGACAATATACCAGGGCTGTTCTGAGGGGAAAATTTCTATCTCTGCTGCCTCAGTTTCTCTTCTGTAAAATGAGGGGGGAGGAGGACTACGGTTCCTTCCAGCTCTAAACCTATGATATTCAGATCCCTCTGTCTCTAAATTCAATTTAACCATCACTTAAAAATATCTGATATATAGATATATACATACACATATATGTGTGTATGTGTATACATATACATATGTATATTTAACCCTACCCTTATTTCCAAATTTATTCCTCCCTTCTTTTCCACCCAAAAATCTATCCCTTGTATGGAACAAGGAACAAAGAAGCGGGGAGATCAGTTTGAGTAACACTAGTTGACACATAGGACCCCAGATCTTGTGCTGGAAGGGTCCTCAGAGGCCTAGTCCTACTTACTCATTTTACAGATAAGGAAACTGAGGCACAGGGAAAACGGGCTTGCCCAAGTTCCCAGAAACATTTAGCCCATCAGATGAGTCTATGCAGATTCCATGGCCCTGGCCTCACTTCTTCAAGGAAGGGAGAAAGCTTGCATTTTCTCATTTCCTCTTCAGAGCCAAGCCCATTAAACAACTACTATGCAGAAGGCACTGTGATGGGCCCTGAGGACACAGATAAAAAACAGTGCCTGTCCTCCAGAAGCTCACATTCTACTGGGGCTGTCACACACACACACACACCACACACACACACACACACACACACACACACACCCCAACCCCTCACAGAAACCTTATAAAGCACATGGAGTAGTAACACACCATCTACAGAATTCCGAGGATGTGGTGAAAAATCTGCTTTATTCATTGACTGATTTCCCTCCCAGATCTCTCTCTCTCCCAGCCCTAGGGCTCATGGGAAGTTACTGACATTCTTCTAGCAGTCAAAGGTAACAATCATTTAAGGAGGAAATTGCATCTGCTTAGCTGGAGGTTTGTTAAAATTTCAAAATGCTAGAGGTCAAGGTATGAAGCAACGGCTAATGAGTAATTACATACAAAATCTCCAGATGTTGGCCGGCCCTACTCTCTAGAAAGTCTGGCTGCGCTCAGATGAGGCTCTGGTCCCTGACAGAGTGAGCTCTCCAGCTACAGATTCACTAGGAGACTAGATGGGGCCATAGAGGGCCAGAACAGATCAGGCTGTCTTGTGTAAGATTCTGTGGAGGTCCCTTCACTGCACAAGTGGGGAAAGAGCATTGGAAGATGGGAAATGGAAGATGTGTCTGGGTTCAAATCCTGCCTCCAAAGCTCACTGGCCGCACATGGTTATTTAACAATTTTAATCATTTAAATATATGATTTTATACTGGTCTGATAAGCCCAGGTTAAGTAGCCTGCCCACAGCCCCACAAAGCCAATAAACCTTGAAGACTGGATTTGAACCCAGTTCTTTCAACTCCAAATCCATAGGATCATAGGTCTAGAGCTGGAAAGATTTTTTTATCTAGCAGCTATGTAGTCCAACCCCTGCATTTTACAGATGAGGGAACTGGGGCCCAAGAGTATTAGGTGATTTGTCCAAGATTATACAGGCAGGAACCATCAGGGTGGGATTTGAACCCAGGTCCTTTGACTATGTAATCATTGCTCTTTATACTGTACCTCTTCCTCCCTCCCCCTCTATCCCATCTCTGTGCCTCGGTTTCCCTATCTGCCAATTGGGAACAATAACATTTTCATTGCCTTATGTCAGAGGGCTCTTGTGTGGAAAATTGCTTTGTAAATTTTCAAGCACTATGTAAATATGAGCTATTGTTTCCATTATTGATATTGTTATAATTACCTCACTCTTCTCATCTTGTTGGACAGTTCTGTCACTATGAAGCTATTATTCTCTGATGTTCTCTGGACAGTTGGGCAGGTGGGTAAAAAAGCTGCTGAAGGTGCTTTAATCAAAGCATTAGGGTGTAAGGTCATTGGCTGTTATCACTGATTATTACTGTTTATCATCTATCAATATACTGACATGGCCCAACAAGGAGCAGCACCAGAATGTAAGGGGATACCACTGCTC